CCTTCAATTAATAGGAAAAACAAATTGTAATAGGAATATGGGTACAAGCCCATATCAACATTCAAGAAGATAATACAAATTGTAATGAATAAGTATAAACTATCAAACTCAAGTATGAATTGTTTACCTAACTACAATTGTATCCAATAGAAACCATGCATGACCATCACTAAGCACAATTACAAAAGTCCTCAGTGTAGAGATTAACCCTCAATTAATCACACACAAGACAATATGTAATGAATATAGAGAATCAATTGAAAGAATTATCAATATAAACCTTGATACAACCAAGTTTGAATTCACAAGACCAAACACTAATTACAATTCATAATCCCCAAAATTGAAAGACAAAATATTTAATTATACAAGCTTAGGGCTCATCCAAGCGCTAAGTGAAGAACTAGCCACTCGGGAAGAAGATAGATGTCATCATGGTGGGCTCACAATCCATCCCCAAGTTTGGACTCATCTTCTTCTTCTTCTTCCTTGAGAGAAACCCTATAGAGAGAGAATAGATTTAGAATTCTACTTAGCTTCCAAATTCCCAATGTCCAACCCTTGCAAAATGGGCTTAATCTTCTATTTATAGGTGAATCTTATGATCCCAAAATGGTCAGACTATGTACACAAGGGACACCTACTTGAATGCACACCGAGCCCCTTGAATCAATGATTAAATTCTAATTTTCGCAGCTGTCAGGCCTGCTCGATGGATCGGAGCCTTGGCTCGATGGATCGGAGCCTTGGCTCGATCGATCTGGGATGTTGCTAGATCAATCAGGATCTTGCTCGATCGATCAGATATCTTAATTTTCAGCTCAGCTTCCTTTTTGCTTCGGATTGCTGCCAAGACTTTAGTTGACTTTCCTAAAGTTTTAAGAGATCAGATTTAGCTCATTTCAACCTTATGGACCTTAAAATGAAAATAACACAAAATAAGACTGAAATGAGCAAATAAAGAAAGAATAAAGTTCTATTATACTCAAAATTAGGGACTGAAATGTGCATATTTAAGCACTTATCAATGATGAGTATAATAGTAAAAATAATTTAAAACTTTCACTCCATTTTTTTCCATGACAAATAAAGTAAGTTTATAGTTTCTTTTTATCTCTTCCATCTAATAAAACAAAAAGCGAGCACATAATCTATTCACTAGAAAAGTCGCATGCATCTATTTTCTCTAATTTCTATTCAATTTTCTTCTTTCCTACCTAAAGAACCATGAGAGTTAAGCTACTCTATCTTTGATTTTTTATTTTTCAAAAGTTCAAATAAATGCAGTACTGGTGCACGTTCACATTGAACTTAAATACTTAAATTCCTCTTTGTGGACGAAAGATTATATATCACCAGAATTAGTGTCAATTGATCTTTTCCTCTCAACACATTGTGGAAATAGAATATACACAGAGTAATACACATATATACAGAGATTTTGCCAAGCAAGAAACTTGTTAGTAAAAAAAAATTAAATAAAGGTTGGTAAAATTTTGAAGTGTTCTTCCCTATATATGTGTGTGTGCTGAATCTATATGTGTGTGTATGTATGGCCAAGTAAGAAGTTATACTTGGAAACATAACACAGCTAAGTTCATAAAGCTACCCTTTCACAAAGACAAAAACGTCATTTTTGCTTTGTCCCAAGCGTGGAGAAGGTATCAATCACCATAAGAAGCCACTTGTCACTCGTCAAAATTATCCCATGTTTTATTATTATGGATAAGATTGCCATTTCAAACCAGACTGCCACGTGTCACTTAGGCAAAACCTAATCCCACCAAGTTCATCTCGAAATTACTACCAATTTAATAGTAGTATGTTTTTGGATAAACATTTTCGAATCAAATTATTGAGGGTAGATTACAAATATATCTAAATATATATGAAAATATATCTGGAAAAATATTTTGAAGTCAAATTATATTTATGTATATATATTAGATATATTCGTGACTGTCGGAAAGCAAGAAATGAGGAGAATAATTGACAATTCATGGAACCTAGACCAAAAAGCAATCCTATCAAAGAGACATAAAACAAGAACACAATCTGAAGAGAGATCTTCATTAAAGATCAGTTTGAAAAGAAAAGGATTGAGCTTTTGACTTATTGTGAGATTGAGATATTTAAGCAAGGAAATTTCTATAATGAGGTGCATTCATTTTCATCGATTGATAGAGTGATGTTGGAGGTATTGGATTGACGTTTTAAAATTAAAATTAATTTAATTTTAATTTTTAATTATTATTTTTTTAATTTCGATGCACGCTATTGATTTAATCGATTATCTCAAACATATCCTGTGAATACCTAAATCTTAAAGGACTCTCTCTCTCTCTCCACACACACACACACACACACACACACAAACACACACACACTATAATTAAAATCATATTTGGTGTTTTGGGTAAAAATTGAAATCAACACTATACACACACACACTATAATTAAAATCATATTTGGTGTTTTGGGTAAAAATTGAAATCAACACTATACACACACACATTATAATTAAAATCATATTTGGTGTTTTGGGTAAAAATTGAAATCATATTTGGTAATGAAAATTTGTTTTGGAAAATTCAAACATACAGTATCACCAAAGTTTTGACAAAAAAAAAAATTTCACACACAATAATTAAAATCATATTTGGTAATGAAAATTTGTTTTGGAAAATTCAAACATACAGTATCACCAAAGTTTTGACAAAAAAAAAAAAATTAAAAAAAAAAAAAAAATCTACTATATTTTATGAACTATTTTAAAATCATAATTAAAATCATATTTGGTGTTTTGGGTAAAAATTGAAATCAACACTACACACACACACACTATAATTAAAATCATATTTGGTGTTTTGGGTAAAAATTGAAATCATATTTGGTAATGAAAATTTGTTTTGGAAAATTCAAACATACAGTATCACCAAAGTTTTGACAAAAAAAAAAAAATTTAAACTAGTCCCAATCATAACATGGGCTCAAATTTAAAAACCAATATAAAAAAAAATAATATCATAACACATTCCAAATAAGCCCTAAGGAACTAACTAGCTAGATACAATATCAAAATTAAAATGTTTAATTAATTAATTATTTTTCATAAATGTGGTGGACAATAAGATAAATCTATTTCCCACAAAAATAGAATAAAATAATTTATAATTAATAAACCAATATCTATAGAATGGTATAATTAATTACTGTCATAATCATATTCGTTAATTATATTCCAAGTTTGCCAACTACTTGGAAAGTGATTCTGTTATTAATGACAAAATCAGATATTTTTCATATTAACCCCAAATCAATAATGAAAGTTCAAGGGCTATATAATTATTCATGACAAAATAAGCAAAATAAGTGATCAATTATCATTTGGTTTAAAGCATAATATAATTTTAATTTTAATTAAGAGGCCTGACTCCAACAATTTGGTGGTGTAAGTAAATAATACTAGTATAGTAGTGTGAGTGGAGTGTGTTATTTTTTCAAGTCACTTTTGTGTGCGTTTATTGTGTGTATGAGATTAAACAATGTTACTCCCCGCTATTGTGGGCTGTCGTGGCAATGGTTAGCTACATGAACACTAACACTACGTGGGTCCCCCTAGCTATTAAAGCCGAGCTCCATATTTGTCTTCGGACCCCATAAGGATTCACATGTGTGGTCGACATCACTCCTTGAGATCCATCTCGTTCCCTCCTTATCCCGCATTCTTGAGTTATATCTATATCTATATCTATATCTATATTTATATATATATATATATATACTTATTTTTATTTTTATCAATTATTTGTAAAATATCTACAAGATTAGATTGTCTCGAATATTTATTTATTTATTTATTTATTTTTGGAAAGTTTGTTTATTTATTTTAGAGAAGAAGATTTTATGATGTGAGTAGCGTTTGAGATCATCTATTGTGTTGCATGTGTCAAAGCAGCATTCGTGTCTTTTTAATTTTTTAAACCTTATTTGTAAAATTATTGTAATTTAATGCATCACAATTATTAATTATATAATTCACCCAAAAAAATTAATTTTCAAAATTTTGTTAACAGTTATATTATGAAATAATTCTTGAAAATTAAAGATATGTTTCTTAATATTTTTTTTTATTTTTTCAAAATTTTGTTAACAATTATATTATGAAATAATTCTTGAAAATTTTAGATTTTAATGTTCAAGATTTATTAAATATTTGTTATAAAGTAGCTGTCAAATAATTGTTAGAAATAAATAATAAATACTCAAATAACATCCGATATAATCGCCATCAGAGTCCAATTTTTTGTTTTGGTAAGTAAAAAGTCCAAAAACACATTACTTCCTCAAGTCTAGTGTCTCATTCCCTTCTTAGAGTACTAAAATTTAGTGTTTTCCTAAAATAATTAACTAGTATTAATGGAATGACAATATCATATATATATATATATATATATATAAAGGAATGTGATCATAGCATTCCAAATTTTGGCATTTTCAACAAATTTGATTTTAAATGAGAGTAAAAACACATTTACTATTCAAAGTTGAAATGTAAAAGTAATTTTTAAATTTACGGTGAGAAGATATGGAAGTGTTAAGGGTAAATTTTTGAAAAAACACAGGATGCCTCTTTGAAAAACGATAAATAAAAGAAAAAAAAATGAAGATGCTATGTAATGTCATTTTCCAATTATTTTTCTTATAATTTTTTTCAATTATTGAAATTAAAAGAAGAAATAGCCGGTAAAAAAAGGAAATTGGAAAGTAAAAAAAAAAACACAGAAAAAAGTAACCGAATCTCTGTTTCTGCTGAATCATCAGTTTGACCTTCAGTACTCACGCGTTACCATTGGAGACACAACTCGACAGTGAATTACACGCACCGTAACTAATAGGCCCCCACAATTTAATCTTAGACAGAGAAAGTGGACAGTTTAGAGAGAGAAACCGTCCCCCCTACCCTATATAATACGGAGTATATATGTGTGTGTGAGGGTGTCGTCTGTATCTGTCTCTCTCTTCTCAATGTTTGAAAACAGAGTTTATAATCCTCGACGACGATGAGTTAACGGACCGATCTGGTCAACACCGTTTGACTGAGTTCTGATAGACACGACAAGTCGAGTGCTAATACCGTAAATAAGTACTCCTTTTATGGGCAATTTATTTACCTTCGGCTCTTTCTTTGCTTCTGTTGGTCTGTTTGATAAGACCTCTCATACTTCTTATATATAAAGTATCAGTTTTCTTTCTCTCTCTAAACATAGTACTCCGTATTATATATATATGTATATATATAGATATAGAGTGAGAGAAAGAGAGAGAGGGGATGAGAACAAGGAATGGGCTTTGTTATCCCAGAGTAGTGAAGATGAGTTTCGAGAAGACAAAAATGAATAGAAGAAGAATAGACATCGCCGGAGAAAATGGATATCGCCGGAAACGTTTAAAGATGACGCCGGATATCGCCGGAGATTGTGATTTGTTCGATGCCTTGCCTGATGATCTCGTCGTCTCGATTCTCGGAAAACTTAGCTCCACGGCGACTTGTCCTGCAGATTTCATCAACGTCTTGATCACGTAGGTCACTGTTCCTATAAATCCTCCTCTTTTGTTATCGCCGGAAGTTTGAATTTGCCTGCAATTTCACCGGAAATGTCTTCAATCTACTATATAGATCTCATTCTTTGATCTAAATTAGTTTTCTTTTTTTTTTTTTTTTTTTGGTTAACCAGACAATATAACAAAAAAAAAGGACGGTTTTTGTGCAAAGTTCTGTTTTGAATTTTATATATATATATATATATGTTTTGATTGTTGATTGTATGAAAACAGATGCAAAAGATTAAATGGTTTAGGCCTCAATTCTCTGGTATTATCCAAAGCTTCTCCAAAAACGTTTGCCGTTAAAGCCAAGAACTGGTCCGAGTCCGCTCACCGATTCTTGAAAGAGTCTTCCGATTCCGGCAACGTTGAAGCCTGCTACACTCTTGGCATGGTCAATATATATATAATTCACATATTTCTATATACATATATATAGATATATATAAATGCCAACATTCTGTTTTTGATTACTCATTAAATGAATGAATCAACTGACTAATTGAAGTATGATGTGTACAGATTCGATTCTACTGTTTACAAAACCGAGGTAGTGGCGCGTCCCTGATGGCCAAGGCGGCGATTAACTCTCACGCGCCGGCGTTGTACTCGCTGGCAGTGATTCAGTTCAACGGCAGCGGCGGCTCCAAGAACGACAAGGACCTCCGAGCCGGCGTGGCTCTGTGCGCGCGAGCCGCTTATCTGGGCCACATCGACGCTCTCCGCGAGCTCGGCCACTGCCTCCAGGACGGCTACGGCGTGCGCCAGAACGTCACCGAGGGCCGCCGCTTCCTCGTCCAAGCCAACGCTCGCGAGCTAGCCTTCGTGCTCGCTACGGCTCCCTCGGCTCAGACCACGCGCTCGTGGCTCGCGTGCAACCCACTTCCCTCTAACAATCACGTCCACCTAATGACCTCGCCGTGTCCGTTGCTGAGTGATTTCGGGTGCAACGTGCCTGCTCCTATGGCCCACCCGGCGAGCCGGTTCCTGACCGAGTGGTTCGCGGGTCGGGGTGGGATTCCGGGTTCGGGGCTCCGAATGTGCTCCCACGGCAGTTGTGGGAGGCCGGAGACGAGGAGGCACGAGTTCCGGCGGTGCTCCGTTTGTGGCGCGGCGAACTACTGCTCTCGCGCGTGCCAGGCGCTGGATTGGAAGATGCGCCACAAGGCGGAGTGCGCACCCATGGAGAGGTGGCTCGACGGCGGTGACGGTGATGGTAACGGAGGTGTTGACGGCGATGGGAATGCTGATGATGATGATGATGATGATGATGATCATATGATTGAGAGTTAACAGTGGCGAGGAGGCAATGACTGTGACAGTGACGGTAACGGTAACGGTAACCGCACGCGAGGCTTTGAATATTGAGAGTTCAGAAGTAAAAACCGGCTCTCTTTGGTGGAAAGTTCAACATCTTCTGGTAGTAACTGTGGAGTTGTATAGACATGAGGTAATTTCGAGGTTTTAAGGGGGCAATTTTGTAAAATTGAGTTATCATGCTGCCTTGAATTTTCCTTAAATTACAAAAATATAATTCCCTTAAATTAAAAATTTTTTACTCTGTATTTTTGTTTAAATCTTTAATTCATTTATTAATTATTCCGTATTATTATATAAAAAAAAATGAAGATATTGAACCAGGAAAAATATTGAATAGTTCGGAGTACCATGCAGTATTCCGATCATTTCGGAGAAACTACATTTTGGTACCCTAGTTAGTGAAACTGTAATTTTTATAATAGGTTAGGCAATGACTATTATATGTGCATATTATTTAGGATAAAGTGCCAAAAAAAAAAAAAAAAAAAAAAAAAAAAAGAACCACACTTGAAGTATTATTATTTTTTAATAAATAATTCCTCCTGAATTATAAATTATTTTCCTAATGATTGATACCTTATAATTAAGGACAAATATATTACGAATGATTATTTTATTATTTCTCAATATATTTGTCATGTTCTATTAAATTACCTCTAACTAGACAAATTCATCACAAATGATTATTTTATCCTTTCTTATTATATTTGTCATTTCTTATTAAATTATTTTTATTATCTTTTCTCTTATCTAAATATTTATTATACCATTTATCTTAATTTTATTGTTAGTATCAATTTATCATAATAGAAAAAAATAAATAGATTTGTAACTATTTAACTTATTATTAAAAATTTACTATCTATAATAAAACTTATAATACTAAACTTAAATATTTTATAAAAATATATATTCTTTTTCATACAATATATTCATGAAAATTAATAAATTACTTAAATAAAAAATGCATTCCTTTTCATACTAAAAATTCATGAAAAAGTAAGAAATTATTTAAATTGTTTAAAAATTCATAAATAAAGTAAGAAATTATTTAAATTGTTTAAAAATTTTCTACTTAATATTTTTATTTAAACAACTAATTTCAAAAAATAAAGGTAAATTCATACAAATTTAAGGGAGAATATGTCATCAAATTAGTATGAATTTTTTTTCATAATTTACTTCAATAAAAAAAAATTAGATTAAGTGTAATTCAATAATAAAGGGCATTATGATCATTTAATAAAAAAATAGTTTAGGCATTGGGGTATTTTGTAACAAAATATAATAGTTCAAGGGGTATTATGCACATAATATACTTCAAGGAGGTTATTTGCAAATTTAGACATAGTTCAGGAGTTTTTTTTGCAGTTTATCCTATTATTTATTTGATTTTTGAGGGATATTGGGGTTTTTAATATAAAATTACAAAATTAGGTATGATGTGGCATGTACAGAATGAAAACTTCATTCTCGATTCTACGAGAATTTTATGAAAGTTTTTCATTTGCTTCTTTTTGATGGAAGTTTTATTTTCCCATAATGTATCCTAATTTTTAGCCTATTTCTTCTTCTGATGATCGATTCAATCTCTAATTAAAAAGATATATCTTGGTTATATATCATCGATCTCTTCAACAAGTTTAGTAATGAGCATAATGACCCTATTGTTCTGATGGAGAGAAAAACTTATGACATAGTTTGATATATATATCTCTTTTGAAGAACTAATTAATCGAACGAGAATAAAGATAGAGATTCTACATGTCAATATCGACAACAATGAAATTTACAGTAAGAGGAAAATTCGTCGATTTTAGAAACCCATCTTGTGATATATATGATACATGTACAAATGAACATCTTTGAGCATGAAATCTCCATTTGAATGATTCGTGGTCCATATCAGTACGAGTATAGAAATTTACAAAGTTTTCCTTTTGAAGATCAAGAAATTCATAAGAGTTTGTAATATCCTTTTGCCCTTTTTTAATTGATATAGGCCCAAGTCATATAGTAAAATGAGGATGATGCATCAGGAATGGTCGGGATAGCTCAGCTGGTAGAGCAAAGGACTGAAAATCCTCGTGTCATGCACCAGTTCAAATTTTGTTCTTGGCACATGATTCATTTGTATAAGTATATGATTTCTACAAATTAATTGATATGGATCGACATATATTCTCCCGGGAACAGATCTAGTCGAGACGGGATCGGCCAGAGGCGGACTTAAAACTTTAGGTAAGGAGGGGCAAGGTCGAAATTTTGTAATAATTTCAGGGGGGACATTAGTAATATTTTAGAGGTATATATTGAAAAAAGAAAAATTAAAAAGAAAAATTAATATGATATATTAGTAAAAAGAACCCCCCCCCCCCCCCCCCCCCCCCCCGCGCTTCCTTTTTCCCTCCTCACTTGCTACTAGGTCCGTTCCTGGGTGGGGCTTGTAGCTCAGATGATTAGAGCACGTGGCTACAAATCACGGTGTCGGACCAAAAGGGAAGGAGCTTTCCCTTTGTGGGTAGGGGAATCATGATCGGGATAGCGGCTATGGGACTTGGGTGTGGGTCTTTTGGTAGGATTATACATGAAAGATCCTTTTTTGGCTCTCTCTTTAGTCCTATGTCTCTTATCCCTAGGAGGTCTTCCTCCACTAGCAGGTTTTTTCGAAAAACTCTATTTATTCTGGTGTGTATGGCAGGCAGACCAATATTTCTTGGTTTTAATAGTACTCCTTACAAGCATTGTTTCTATCTACTATATCTAAAAATAATCAAGTTATTAATGACAGGACGAAACGAAGAAATAACCCCTCACCATTCCAAGATCTATTGGTTATGTGGTTAAAGTTTCTTTTAGAAGAAAATTACAGGATTAGGTAAGGAATGAGATGAATAACCAACTGCATGCATGTGTTCGCCGAAATGTGGCATAACTTTATGGTAAAGTAACTTAATCTTAAATGTTACTATTGAAAAGTTAAATTGAGAAGTAAAACATGCATAATAACAACTCAGATTTAAACCTTTCATTTCAGCAAAGCCAGTTGTGAAACTTGTGATGCAAATGAAGTGGAAAGGTAAAAGTAGTAATGTAGGTATGGATAACAGAAGGATCCTAGGTGAACTACTACATCATTATCACTATTTATCTATGTTATAAATATATGTATATATATTGGTCAAAAAGGTCGAGACAAAAGAGGGTGGATGGCCAAAGGAAAAAGAGAGAAAAAGAACGGACTATATAGGAGGGAAATGAATAGTGGAAGGGACAAGTTCACTTGCAAGTGGAGGAGAAGATGTCGTTATATGGGTAACTTTTATGCAAGATTACATTTAAATGTGTGTATGTGTAATGTGTGCGTGATAAAAGGCATCTCATGGTGGGAGTGATGTTATTATATATACTCTATTTTATCATCATTTTTAGTATTATATTTTCATCCAAAGTCAGTGTTCGTGAAATGTAGACAAAGATGAGTGGTCCAAAGCCCACTAGGTTTAAAGCCACGATTAGGAGTAGGGGTTGCAATCCCTGGTTTGGTAGGGTCGGATGGGATAAGATTTGCATTGGCTTTTATATTTAGTAGAGCATATATAGCAATGCAAAATGAAATTATGATTATGTTATACTATAGTTTTTATATGGTGTTCGAGTCCGACTTGTTCGACTAGTCAATCACAATCTATACAATTAAATGTGTCAAATTTATTTACTTTATATACATTGATGTATGTGTATCATATTTATTTAGTTTATTTATATTTTATATACATATACATCAATATATATATGTATACAGTATATTTATAAATATAAATGGCATGCAAAGACTAAATATTTACAAATTAAGTTTAAGTGTATTTTTTTTTTGGATAGTAAAACAAGCACACACACACTTTTTTGCCTATGCCGGGACTCGAATTCCTCCCCTCTTTTTAAAAGATGAGGAAGTTATACCATTTGATCAAAGGCCCTTTGGTTAATTAAGTTTAAGTTGTTTCTAAATGTATATACTTTCTTCGCCAAGAATTGAAGATACACTTGTGATTTGAAGTGGGCTAAAAGGTTGTTATATATAATTTTACTTAGATAAACTGTTTTCTATTATTAATTCGTAATTTTTACAATATAATAGAATAATTTTACTGTTGTACTAAGACTGGCCTGCAATTGTGATTTGAAGTGAACATTTTTGTTTGGCAAGTGATTTGAAGTGAATATTGAAAAACAAGAAACTGTCAAGTCAGTGAAATCACACGTTAAGTAGGTGAGTGGCCATATATATATATATAATGACATGCAAAATCAACTACCCTTTACCATGTTACTGAGATAGCTTTGCCTCCCGGGTACCATCAATCTAATTAAGGCTTTGAAAAAGGGCAACGGGGTGAAGAAGCAAGACACTAGTCACCCACAAATGAAGGAAGGATATAGTACATTATATATATATATATATATATATATGCTGGATCCTCCTATAAATATAATATCTACGTATATCCACAGTATATAATACAGAGTTATCAATCAGTATGTGGCCTAGCGATATAAGGCTCCTACCTTTCAAAGAGAAGTCAGGGATTCGAACATCAGTGAAGGCAGTGTGTGTGAGTCCCATCTAAGAAAAAAAATACAATAATAGTTTTTTTTTTTTTTTTCAAAAATTATACAGTAATAGGTGTATATATAAATATAATAAGAAAACTGCATATAGGCTGAGTTAAGTCCTAAAATAACAAAATGATCTATTTTAAAAGGTCTATTTTTTAATTTGATTGATTTAAACAAAATAATTACAAATGCATAAAAAATTATTACTCTTTGTAATATGACTTGTTTTTTTGGTTGTTGAGCTGTTTATTTCCTTACTTAATTATCAATATATATATATATATAAGAAAGTTTCCCAAATTATTTTTTCAAAGTGATTTCATGTATAATTTGTTGTAAGGCCAAATTTACAAAATTATAAAACAAAATAAAATAAACATACCAACATAAACCTACCAATAAACGTACCAATATTATTGTATAAAAGTCTAATTAAAGACACAAAACACTCTTTGAAACATAAAAATTTTAATAAGATTTTATTGTGTACTAATATTATGGTGTAAAACAGATGACCTATTGCTGCTTGCAATACTTCTATCAGTTCTTTCCTTGACTTTATAGTAAAGATGACCATTGTCTTAAGAATGAAATATTAGTACTTGCTACATTATTTTATTGGGATCATGTGACATCCCTTGTGTTCTTAGCAAAATAATATAGGTTTCTATTGGTACATTTATTTTATTTTGCTGTTTTATTTATTCTATAATCATATAAATTTGATCTCACTAAAAATATACATGAAATCAATTTGAAAAGATAATTGGGTAATTTTTTTTTTTGATATATATATATATTGATAATTAATTAATTTTATTAAAGAAGGAAACAAGCAGCGCCTAAAGAAGTATATTTATTGACAACCAAAAAAGCAAATC